GAAGTGGAAGAAGTACTCAAATCTATGATGTACTTAAGTAAAAGTACCACGAGTAGAAATTGCTGGGATTAACCCTAACACACTTGAGTAAAACGTGACTTTGTATTGTAATAAAAATATATATAAAGTAAGTAATACATTATTTTATTTTAATTATTGATACACTCAAATGTTCATCACTTAAATATTGCAGCTGGTAAAGGTGGAGCTAATTCAACTACTGCTGGGTAGCTTATGAAATTGTGACTGTGAATCAATAAATCTTTATTTTGTATCATTAATCTGAATCTATAAAGTAACAGATAACGTTTTTTTTAAAATGTAGTGGAGTAATAAATACAATATTTGCCTCTGAACTGTAGTGGAGCAGAAGTATAAAGTAGCAGGGGGGTTGTTTTGTTTTGGAAACCATTTGAGGATCTCAAAATTCACTGAAAACAGGGCTGTTTTTCTGTTAAATAAAAACAAGGTTTTCACAGGACAACAATGATATAAAGGATGTTTTAGTTTCTATATCCATATTTCAAATTCTAACAAAAAGAAATATGGACCTGGATTGGCAATAAGCAGGTTTTTCTGTGTGATAGGAGGTGTGATCAATAATGTTAATGATGGCTGCATTGCAAATCATGCACATAGACCAAACATCAAAATGGAATGACGCAATAGTTTTTAGTACTAAATAAAAAACTAAATCAAGGTCAAAGGCATCAAAATCAGTCACTATTTGCTAACTTTAGTGCAACATGTTTATTAGTCGGACCCTCAAAAATCCCCTTAATGGAACAAAACGTACCTCCCACAAAATGCACATTACTGTAAAAAATTGTTTAAATTAATTTTGAAGGTGAGAGTTTCATTTCAGCCTATTCTATTTTCATACATCCAGTTTTGGCATTCAGTGTTGTAAACATGGCTGACGAGTTATGAGAGGTGTACGCTGGGCGACAACTGAGTAGCTCCTGTGTCCAACCATGAGATCAGAGTAAATATTAACAGTGACACACTGCTGTGGAAATACCTCAGTGACTTACAGGGGCTACGAGGAGCAGGGCAGGAGGATGAGTGGGAGGAGAAGAAAGACGAGTGGACGCAGACATTTAGGTGAGCCAAAAGGTAAACGGCAGGGCAATGCACACACATAACCCCAAATACACACATGGACACACACACACTGATACCGTCTTAGCCCTCCCCCATTGACACTCCAAACCCCAAACGCCTCTATCCCTCTGATGACATGTTCCCTCAACACCTACACAGAGCTCCCCGAGGAAAATACAGCCAAGTCCTCAGCTGACACAACAACTCCAAACACACACGCACACGCACACGCACGCACGCACACACACACACACACACACACACACACACACACATCTCTTCAGAGGACATTACATCGACTTACATTAATTTCCTGGAGACTTACCCTAACCCTAACTACACTCTCATACCTAACCCAAATCCTGACCCCAGCCTCACCTTAATCTCTCTGTCTTTCCATCGTATGGGCTCATCAGCTCACAAGCAAGTGAACAAGACTAAGCAGGATAACAGGGTAACATACTGTAGAGGACAGGCTGGGATCATTATTTTATTCCCAAAACCCATAAAGCTTAACAAACATCTTTTTAATATTTTCCATTTTAAGTTTTTGTATGTTTTATATAATCATGAGCTATACCACTGGGATGTACACAACCTCTCTTTCAACCTAATCTTAAACCAAGTCTTCACCCTAAAATGTAATGATACATTATTGCGTTTTGTCCCCAAAAGAAAGGCAAGTCCCAACAGTGTGAATGTAGGAACAGATTTATGTCCCCACAACATGAGTTATACATGTCTCCACACGCACACACACGAAAACAAAGGGCCCTGTTCATTATATTGTTTACTGTTTAACTTTCTGTTTCATTACATGACAACATAAATGTAATGCAAATGCTGTACTTTTGAACGTAGGTGGATTGCAGACAATTTTTCTTTAAATCTGTGACAGAATAAGGAGAACTACTTTTTTTTTGTCTTTGATGTTTCTTTCTTCTTTAAAGGCTGAGGGAAGGATTTTGTGATCTGAGCAGACGATAAAAGCACACGAGGAGGTTGTGGGTTGGAGAATGATCACATTACGAATACATGCTAAAGCCGAGAGCAGACAGTGCGGCCCTCTATTTATTATGTTTTCGGACCTGGGCAGAATGTTCCATCAGCCTGAGAAATATGACAGTGATTTCACCGACACACTCTCAGGTTTCAATGCAGGTAGGCAGGGATGTGTGTGTGTGTGTGTGTGTGTGTGTGTGTGGACAGATGTGTCCGTATGAATGCCAGAAAATGATTACGTGTATATATATAGTGAGAGAAGAAGGACAGAAAGAAATAAGAGAGTAGAAAGAGAGACGTGGTTAAAGGAAGTTCATGTTAGGCTACATATTTGCAGTCAGGGTGTAACATTTCAGCACCGGACTGATAATAGAGTCAACACACTCTGCACAGGTTTAGGGGCAGAAGGATGTATATGAGGAATGTAAGGGTGTCAAATAAAAGCTCTTTTTCACCACAAACACTCATTCAAATACAATTTACTCAAACAGACAGTCAAGCACACATTAGTGTTGAATTTAGTATCCATGACTGTGTTTCACAAATAATGAGTAAATGAATGAATAAGTAAGTGAATAAATAAATAAGTGAATGAATAATAAGAGGAGTCACAAGCATAAAGTTACTTTGATGCTTTCAACTAATTTCAAGAAATTTTAACTGTAACTAAACCTTGGAGTGGCCAGAAAATTCAGCTGGTTTACTAAAAGGTCTAGTGTGTAACATTTAGGAAGATCTATTGGCAGAAATGGAACATAATATTTAACAAATGTTTTCACAAGTGTATAAAATAAGAATCATGTTTTTGTTACTTTCCAATGAGCTGTTTTTATCTACAAAGGGAGCAGGTCCTCTTCTATGGAGGCCACCAATTCGAACCACCATGTTTCTACAGGAGCCCAGAACAGACAAATCAAACACTGGCTCCAGATAGGGGCTTTTGCATTTTTCGTGGGTTCCGTGGCCACCGTATTTCCCCTTCACACTTCAAATGGGAGGGTGAGGCGAGGGAGTTGTAATCTCCAACCACACACTGGACCTTTGGACAAGGCTAGCTATTTCCCACTCTTTATGATAAGCTAAGCTAACTATCTCCTGGCTGTAGACTTATATTGACTGAGCGGTATCAATCTTCTAATTGAGCTCTAAGCAAGAAAGTGCATTTTCCAAATTGTGGCACAATTGTACAACATAATAACACATGTTTATCAGGAGTTATTGAATGACAAAGAACTTCAAAGAGCAGTGTGAGGTAGGCAAAAGACAAGTGATTTATTTTAGTTATTTAAAACAACAAAAATACAGAAAGTGTAAAAGACATATGAAAACCTTTTAGTGTCTCTCTCTTTTTATGGGATTTTCATGTCATCATCTTGCTACTGCACAAACAAGATTTTAAGATTACGAGCAACAGAGATGCAGATTAATCGCTGGATTTGTTGTGGGAAATGCTCGAAAATCCTGGGATTTCCACTGTGGTTTAGTCTTAAATCCATTCTGAGATACACAACAGTTTCACTTTTTAGCTTCATGGCCTTAAGCCATCAGAGGATATGGACAGCATGTGGCAATACATTAATGAAAGTTTCAACATTAATTATTTTTTGAAGAGCTGCCTGAGAGCTCATTTGGTAAAGCAATGACATAAACACTGTCAGGGTTAGAGCTTTGAAATATTTTTGATAGTAGGCTTACAAATACATAAAATTAATGCAGGGAAGTCATTTTAATTTTCTTATACTGAATATATAGTATGTCTAATATTGTACAGACAAAAGATTTTCTAATTTTTGATGACGTTGTTGAACAGAAATGGTAGAAAGGGGATGGAAGGGGAAACGTTTCCTGAGTTCCCTTTATTTTCCAACTCATAAACATAATTCCAATTACAGTATACAATACATACCATCCCAAGGCACTTCGGGCAATAAAGTCTTTTAACTGAACTTTTGGTCTCAAGGTGCAGACAAACCCTCAGTGTGCTCCGCTCACTGCTTCTGAATGGTGACCCTTGGGACAGGGGTGTCAGGGGAGAACAGAACTGGGGACATGGTGAGGGAAAGGGGAGGCACAACAAGATGGGAGATGAAAGAGATATATGGGAGAAAGGCGGCAGAGAAAAGGGAGGAATGAAAGGGGGGAGGCTAGGGGAGGGTCGCATGGGGGAACGAGGGAAGGTCGTGTTTCTCAGTGGAGGGTGTGCTCTCTCTGAGGTAGCAGTGTGGAACCACCCAGGGCCTTGTAATAGTTAAATCATATCAATTAACCATGGGACATCAGGGGATTAGGGGTTAATCTCTCCCTTGAGAGAGAGAAACAGTAAACTAGAAAGGAAGGAAAAAGGAGAAAAAGAAGAGATCATAAAGGGAGATAGCTAACATGATGAATTAGAGAGCATGAAAAAGCATGTTTCAGATAAATAAAGAAATTGCCTGAAGGACGACTCCTTGTTCACTTAAGTTATCAACAATGACATTGTAAATGACAGCAAATGAGCAGCGTAGCGCTACATTTGCATTTCCCTATCAGCAGTGGTGGGACCAGAAGTGGCATTTAGGGATTAAAAACAACACAAAACAGGAGATAATCCCATAGCTCGGCCACACCCGCCTGGGAACTGACTTACGCTATTTTCAATTTGGATGAGGGCTTGGAAGAAGAAAAGGGGCACGAATAATTTACCCCCTTCCTCCAAAGCTTTATTGCCCCCCATAAAATTGCCCCCTCAGATTTAGAAACATCCACATTTGATTGAAAATGAAATCATATACAATAAGAGATGGTATATGTGGCAAAGGGTTTGGGAGATCTATATTTGGGGGGATTGGAGGACTGAGCTTTGGGGGTTTGAGAAAGAGCAGAGGAGCCCCTCTTTCTCTGGTGTATATGCAAAAATGGCTGAAGTGGGTAATGGAGCCGTGAGGTAAGAGGATTAAGATCAGCATTGGGTCAGGACTGATAGTGAGGGACGGGGTGATGGAGGGACAAAAGGATAAGAAGAAGAGAAGGGAAAATGGGGGAAAAGGAGTGGAGAGAAAGAAAGAAAAAGGGGGATGTAGAGAAAATTAGCCAGAGGTGGGCGATTTGGGGTAAAAAGATATGAAATGGAGACTTGAGGAACTCTTCCAGACTCATAAGTGATCATTTGGAATCTGTGTGTCCCCCTGATAGGGACCGGCAAGATAATGCTTAACCTGATACTTGACTCCAGGGGTTCTACAACATCTCCACTTATAGGGGAAGAGCTTGAAGGCTACAAGAAGGTATGAGCAGGCTGTGAGTTCAAATACTGAGCACTCAGGAAGCCCGAAATGTGCAGGATTGAGCATTTAAAGGGGATAGAGAAGGATGAAATGTATCTTTCATAAATAACTTGATATTGAGAAATAGAATTTGCATTCCTGTGGTCAGTAACAGACACATCCTGGCCCCCACCTGCCTTTTAAAGTCCCTGTGAAGTCAAAATAGATGTTTAAGAGTTAATATCACATATGTCTTGTGCTATACGTCACTTATACGTAAGTATCTGGCCAAACAAGTACAAAAAAAGGAATTTTTAGGTTCAGGTATTCTTAATGGTATCTTAGAGTTTGTTATTTCCTGAAAAGTTTACCCATCCTACACTCAGAGGTGTATAGGTCTATTATCCTATGTCCAATAAAATGCTTTCTTGCTCATGATGCTGCTGGAGTTTCTGGGGGCCGATGTATTAGATACATCTGGCAAGGTCTGATGTCTGTACAAAACACTTTATAACTATATTCACCGATTTTGGTGAAAATTGATCATATTTTATGAAATAAAAAGACTTACAGAGTTTCCTGATCAACAGATAGCTTTAACTACAACAGAAGTAAGCTCAGCAGCCAGACTGGACCAGGATTGAACACACAACAATGTTATACTGAGGTCCTTTACAGAGTTTCCAAAGATTGGAAGTAGTGTACAAGTTAAGTAGTGAACCGATAACTTCTGCAAAACAACAGCTTGATGTTTTTATCTGAATTATACAATCTGAATAAATCATCAATATTTAATGGACAGGTATGAGAGCTGTATTATTTTTTTTACCCTGGCAAGAAAGTGACTAAACATATTTCCCAAAATGTGAGAACATTAAAATAAAATAAAAATATGTGCTAAAAAACTGGAAACTAGGTTCACACAACACAACCTCTTCTAGAAAAGGCCAAAGACATCTGAAGTTTACAAACTTCTTCCACATAAGTATCTGCTTTAGTGGAGCAAGTTGTACTCTGAAAACCAGTCTGTAGGAGCTGAGGAGTCTCATCTAAATGTTCCCCTGACCGATAAGTCTTTGCTTTAGCCAATTAGATGCCATCACAGGATCAGACTCAACTCTTATTTGCCAGCCAAAGAAGCTCAGCTGCTCGACCCCGGCAGTAGCCTCATGGAGCCACGTTGCCGCCTCGCACCCCCTCCCTTCCTCAGTCCCCCCACCGCAAGTCTTAATTCAGGCACTTTGAAGTATCTTGGTCTGTGGTGAGGAGCCACTCAATCAATTACGAATGAAATAATCTCCTTATGATATTCCGAGGTTTCTTCAAGTAGAGGAGGGGGGAATGCAAGAGGAGATTACGGAAGCCAAATCAGTCTCTCAGCTGCGTCTCAAGTGACAGGGGGAGAATCAGCTGAGAGGATGGTGGGAAATTAAATAAGAAAAAAAAGATTATGTCTAAGTGTGTCACCTCCGAACACTGCTGTGAAATCTGTAACCTGATCCATGAGGAGGTGGTAGTGGAGTGCAGGAGCGAGAATGGATTATTGCAAGCCGCGTTAAAAGAGGACCCATGGTTGCTTAAAAAGCTTTTGCTTACCACTAAGAGAGAGAGCACACACACATATCAGACATCAGGGTGGTGTATCTGTGTGTGCAAAAACAAGCAAAGACAAAGTGAAGTAACTTGTCATCTTGCTGGGAATCTAACTTCTGATCTGCTAAACACAAAGATACTCCACATTTTCGTGCATTCTCAGAGACAATATGAGTGGTAGTGAAATGTTAGCAGCTTGTGATGCTCAGAGGATCAGGTCACAGGATGATATTTATGCAGTCTATAAAGCAGCATTAGGCCATCAAAAAAGTTTAAAACTCAGACTTCGTGTCCATTTTGTCTCAACTAAAGAAGGAGCTTGGGAGAAGGAGGGAGAAGGGAATAGATCTTTTAGTATCAAACAAAAGTGTTACTGATGATACTACTGAAGGTGCTTTTCCATTTAGTATAGCAGAGCCTTTCCAGTGAGCCAACATGCACAGTAGCAGCATGCTGACTCTGTTTGACCTGAATGGAACAGAACCTCAATTAGTATCAGTGGTAATACCTGTGTTTACCCTACAATTATACCAAAATGACTGAAAAGGGTCTATTATGTGCAAAATGTTATGATGAAAACCATCCATCTTCTGAAAAAAAAACCTCCACTACATCTCAAAAGAAAATGTTCATGTTCAACTAAATTTGTCTCACAGTTTTAGTTACTAGTTACTTTTCAGATTACATTTTCCATACCCTTACTGTCCAGTGAAAACATGTATCTTCAATTTTGGTGATTTTGATTTTTTTCTGATAAACTGAAGGATTAAGTGTTCCTTTGTAAATAAACCCTCTTAGATTAGCTGGAAAATACATTATTAAAAGCTGAAAACAGTATGATGTGTGGTTCTCACAGGATAGCAACTAATCTTACAGGATATGATGCATTGCTATACATTAAACTACCCAACAATAAAGTAGTTAATTAGTGCAACCTTAAACATCTACAGCAGTAAAATAACAGTAAAAACACATTCAGCAGTACTTTTTATCCAAAAACATCATATATAATAGCACACAGACTTTTACTTTTGATATTAAGTATTATAAATGCACAGTGTGTTATTAGTACTTTTACTTAAGTAAAGGATCTGAGTACTTCTTCCACCTCTGATGGTAAAATCTATGGAAGCCTACAGTTTTGTAATTATTACAGTATGTCTTCCATCTTTATTTCCTGCTATTCTTTTGTGTCAATAAATACTTTGTAAAATGCCAAACATGACAAGACAACAAACAAGCTCTCCCTCCAGCCTCCCCCTTCTCCCCTCTCTCACCCCCATCAGTGTCGCTCCCACATCTTGCCTCGAGCTTTTCTGATTTTCTCCATGGCTGACTGTCGTTTCTGCTGCTGCAAGCACAGCCATCAATGCGCATTGATCGCTTCCCTTCATCCTCAGCGTCCCCTCCGTTATACCTGACTATGGCGACTAATTCTCCCGTTCTCACCCTTCTTCATCCCAGATTGAGAGGGTCGGAGGAAAAATCAATAACGGTGCCAAGTGGGGAGGGGTCAGGGGTCAACGAGGTCCTTGACAAGTGTGTCAGGGGAAGGAAAGGAGTGAGAGAGAGGAAAAAGTGCTTGTCCTTGTGTGTGTGTGTGAGAGAGAGTATATG